TACGGGTACGGGTACGGTACGGACGGAGGAGGAGGAGGAGGAGGAGGAGGAGGAGGAGGAGGAGGAGGAGGAGGAGGAGGAGGAGGAGAGGAGGAGGAGGAGAGAGAGAGAGGGAGGAGGAGAGAGAGAGACAGGGGGAGGAGGGAGGAGAGAGAGAGAGGCGCTGGTGGGGGGCGGATTGAATGTATGGTGGTGGCCTGGAGGATGAGCTAGGGTGGCGTACGAGGTGGAGCAGAAGAAGGCCGGGTACGGTAGCGTGTTGAGATGCACGGCAGGAGAGGCGACAGGGTTGTCAACCAGACTTTGAGATGATGGGGTACGGCATAGGCATGGCTCGAGGTGTATGGATGCTGCAGGCCAAAAGACGCTGGCGGGCTGGCTGGCTGGCTGGCTCGAGCCCAAAACCCCGATAGACCAACACCCACCCACCTACATGCCACCCTGCTGCTGGCCGGGCCCAGGCTGTGCTGTCTGCCAGGCTGCCGTTGGCCGGCACAGCCCCGCGCCGCTCAACAAGCAGCGCTTGCCAAGCCAGCCTGAGCCAGCCTGAGCCTGCGCCCGCTGCCTCCCTAGTCCTCGTCCATTTCACGCTGGCCTGCCTCCTGGGACCATCCTACCCGTGCCACACACACACAGAGAGAGGCTAGGCAGGCATCCACCTGTCGCTGCGCACACGGCCGACCTCGACGACGTCGTCAAGCAGGCGGGCGGGTCGACTAGATAGATGTTGGTTTGTCGGTCGGTCGCTCGTTTGGCCGGCCGGCCAGCCAGCTCGAGCTCGTGTGACTTGAGGCGACGCCGTCATGCCGCGACGCAGACGCACGACCGGGATGGACGGGTGGCCTGCCTGCCCGTTGGCACATGTCAGGTCGCGTTGCAAGCTTGCTTGGTTGCCAGCCGGCTTCCCCCTCTTTGAGCCGATCCTGGCCTCGCCTTGCTGGCCCTGGCCCCTCGAGCTGGTTCGGCTCCGATGGGCTCCACTTGGTCCAATCCAACCACTTTTTTTCTTTCTTTGCCGCACGGGCGCGAGAAGACCGACGTACGTGTGGATGTGCGTAGAGCGGCCCAGGGTCCACCCGTGCCGTGGCCGCCTGCCACCCGCCGATGCCATGTACCACCACCACGCCCTGCACCACGTATTCTACATACACACCCTTGCACAGCGAATCGCAGCAGTGTCCGCCTCTCATCTATACCTCTGCAACGTACCGCTAGCCTGGCCACGGCATACAAGCCCTGGACACAAGCGCAACCTCGCCTCGACTGCTCGCATCGCCAGCGCCGCGCCGCACCCCCTTTCGACCGGTCTCCGACATGAGCGCCTCTCCCTCGCCCTCACCGCGCACAGCCGCCGCCGCCGGCGGCCCGGCTCAGCGAACCGACTCCGACGTGTCCCACACCATCCTCCGCATCAAGAGGAAGCGGGGCCAGGACCCTGTCGAGGCCCTCGTCATCCAGCAGGCCGAGCGCCGCGCAAAGAGGAGATCAAACCTACACAGCGCCAACCCGTCGCGCTCCCCTTCAGCCGCACCACGCCCACTCCGCAGCGGCGCGCCATCCGATGCCGAAGACGACCAGGCTGCGCGGCCAGAGGCTTCGCGAGGTGAGATTGGCTAGTTTTCCCGTCCGTCCTCGAGTGGCTGCCGGACACCTGGCGTCTGACACCACTTGCTGCTCTGCAAACCCACCAGGCGTCTTTCGTCTGGCCGAGACCGTCTCGCTCGAGTCCTTCTCCGACCCCGCCGCCGCTCGCTTGCTCCACGACCGCATCACTGCACTCAGTCGGGCAGGTCGTGACGCCAACACCCTGCCCATCGCTCCGTTGCCGGCAGCCCGCCAGCCGGCGTCCGAGCTGCCACGCTCCCAGAGGAGCTCAGCATCCCCGGCACCGCCATCTGGCACCGTCAGCGACCCCTTGCACAGATCCCTTGCATCGCTAGACAGCTCAAGAGACGGTCTGGCCTCTCCGGCTGCCCTGACCGCCCTCGATGGTGCGCCGCGCCAGACGCCGGCCGGGGCCAGCAGCGACGTCGCTCGCAAGGAAGACGACAGGGGCATCAAGCAGAAGTCTTCGATGGCCTCGAGCATGCGCTTCAAGGTGGTGCGCAAGGAGCCTCTCGGCCAGCTGCGCCATGCCGGCAGCACCGGAAGCCTCCGGAGGAAGCTCAAGGGGGTCGGTGCCGCCAGCAGACCCTGGCAAGACTCGCGACATCCCCCCCAGATTCGGTGAGTTGCACGAGCCTAGCACCCCTGCTCGGACAGAAGCAGCCGTTTCCATCGCTCACCGGGACCCTTTCCTCTGCAGCTCCAAGAAAGAGAAGGACGCCGAGGCCGTATTTGGCAGGATCATTGACGCCGTCAGCCAGGCAGGCGAGGGACGCAGCAAGGGCGGCAAGGCGAAGCCGAGGGTTGGCGGCAAGACGAAGGGCGCGGACCCGGACATGGACGCCCTCGACTCGAGGTTTGCAGAGTTGCTTGGCAATTACCTGGAAGGTGAGCTCAGCCGGGATGGCGAACGCTTCCTTCTTCACCGTCTCAGGCGCTGACACTCGTCCGGTTGCCTCTTGTCTGCACCAGCGAGCAACCTCGAGCCGCCGGCGGACCTGGGTGCCGCCCTGACCGGCGGCCGGAAGCGGGACCACGACTCGGACTCATACTCGGATTCGGCCTCCAACGACGACGACGACAGCGACGACGACTACGTGTACGACATCTACTACCGCGACATGATCCCGTCGAGGACTGGTCCTGCTGGTGCGGCCGAGTCGGGGCTGCAACCGGCGGCGGTCCCCGGGCACGAGAGGCTGCTGGCGACGAGGTCGTCGCTTCCCGAGTCGATGGCGCTGCCCAGGGTGCAGGGAGGGGCGGTGGTGCCCGCCGAGATGGCGCCTCCGGCGACGGCTCACTTCCCCGGCCTCGACGTTGCCGGTGCCGAGACGGTCATGGCGCAGCTCGAAGGATTCGAGGACACCGACGACGAGCTCGACGCCGGCGACGATGCCGAGGGCTACGAGAGCTACGACGAGGGCGAGGACGAGGACAGCAACGACGAGGACTTCTACCGCAACGACTATCCCGAAGAGGAGCTGCCGGACGAGGACGACGTCGACTTCGGCGCGTACAACGACGACAGCGACGACGACGAGCAGGATCCGTACGGTGAGTCTCTGGGCGGCGGCGGCGGCCGTCTTGGCCCGTACGAGGCAGCAGCTGCGCGCATCGAAGCTGACCGGACCGCGACCGCTGCCTCCGCTCTCGTCCTTGACGAGCAGCCCTGTCAGATGGCAGCTTCTAGATAGCGTGTGAACCCCGTCCCAGGGGGGTCGGTGAGAGCGAGAAGAAGGGCAGAGCGCCGTCCCCCGCACCTAGAGCATCGAGTCCAGGCCGAGATTGTGATGTAAAGACCTGCGGTATGGCCTCGTCTCGTGCGATAAGCATCGCCAGCCCCCGGCATGTGGAGAAGGGCGAGAGCGACGAGGCCGAGGCAGCCGGCACGAGCGCCTGCCTCTAACCGGCGCCGACCCCCGCACTTTGAGCCGGTTATCCAGCCGTGCCGCGCCGTGTGCCTTGGCGGCCCTCTTTCTTGGGCAACCGGCCCGGAGAGAGAGCCCCACGCGCGGGACGACCACCTCTCTAAAAGTCGTCCCTCGACCCCCCTTCCTCTTTCTTCTTCTCCTTCTTGCCTCCCCTCACCCTCTTTGTCCCGACCCTCAACCCCTGCGCCTACAGCACCCCATCGCACACACACGCCACACTTGCCTGCCATGTCCCAGCGAGTCAACCAGATTGCCGGCCACCTCGGCCAGACTGCCCGTAGGTACCGCCCCCCGCTTCCGATGCCGCCTTCCCGCCAGTCTCTTCAGGACCGTTCGGGACCCTGCTGATCCATGGCCGCACCTCGCCCGTCTCGCCTTGCAACAACTGCACAGCCGGTCCGCTGCTCAAGGGCCAGGTCGCCATCGTGACCGGCTCGGGCCAGGGTATCGGCAAGGCGGCCGCCGTCCTGTTTGCGGCGCACGGCGCCCACGTCGTCGTCAGCGACCTCGACGCCAAAAAGTCGGCCGACGTCGCCCAGGAGATTGTCAACTCGGGCGGCAGCGCCATCTCGATCGCCGGCAACGTCATGGACAAGGACTACGGCGAGCGCGTCGTCAAGGGCGCCATCGACAAGTGGGGCAAGGTGAGTCGAGTCATCGCGGGCCTCGAAGCGGGGGCGGGTTCACCGGCGAACCAAGCTGACCCATGCCTCGCCCCGTCTTGTGACGACGACGACGACGGCGACGACGACAGATCAACATCATTGTCAACAATGCCGGCTTCACGGCCGACAAGATGGCGCACACGACCGACGACGAGACGTTCCAGCTGATGCTCGACTGCCACGTCGTGGCGCCCTTCCGCATCATCCGGGCGGCGGCGCCCTACATGCGCATCAAGGACGCGAGCAAGCGCGAAAACATGTCGATCATCAACATCTCGTCGACGTCGGGCACGCACGGCAACGTCGGGCAGGTCAACTACTCGGCGGCCAAGTCGGCCGTGCTGGGCCTGACCAAGACCATGTGCAAGGAGTGGGGACCGTTTGGCGTGCGCGTCAACTGCGTCGCCTTTGGCTGGATCCAGACGCGCCTCACGGCCGCCAAGGAGAATGGCGAGAGCATCGTCGTCAACGGCAAGGCCATTGCGCTCGGCATCCCCGGCCGCGGCAAGGCCGCCGCTGCCGCCGACACCGGCAGCAAGGTGACGGGCACCGAGGACATCCCCCTCGGCCGACCTGGCCTGCCCGAGGAAGGCGCGGCCGCGCTCCTCTTCTTTGCCAGCCCGCTCGCGTCGTACGTCAGCGGCCAGACGCTCGAGGTCACCGGCGGCCGTGGCATCTAAGGTGGTCGGGCCGGGGTGGGCCAGGTCAGGGCTGCATCCACCCAACCATCATCCATCCGTCCGTCTGTAGCAGCGCCGTCAGTGGTAGTACGTAGCAGCGGCCCCACAGTCGCGATCTTGAACGAAGCAACAGAGTGTCACCACAGCCTTGTTCGCGGCGCTCGTCTGGTCAGCCTCCGACGGCGGGAGCGGTAAGGCTCGGCTTGCTGGGCCGACGAGCCCGGTCAGACGCCACGCCACGTGGGGTCGTGATACAGTAGACCAGCCCCGGGCATGTGGGCCGACCGGTGACGGTGGAGCGCAGCGAGAGGACAGCGCAGCGTCGTGAATCGGCTCGGGTCGTTCGCGGGGGTCTATAGCCGGCGGTGGTACGGAACCTAGGTGCCTCATCCGACCGGTACGTTTGTAGGACAGAGGTGTCGCGTCGAAGGCGAGGCAGGAAGGACGCAATGGCCGCCGAACCTCGCCCCATGGCGTCCGGGTCGTGTGACTGGAGCCGGCCTCGTCTCTCCCCTCTCACCGGCATCGGCGCCGTACCCCGGACGAAGACGACGACATCCGTCGAGGACATCCGTCTGGACGGGGGTGCGGTCGGAGCAGGCAAGGAGGGGCGAGGAGCGCATTGGAACCGCAAAGAGCATGCATGTCCGCCTGCCTGCCCGCCCGCGTGCCTCATCCTCCTCCGCGTGCCTCTTCCTCCGGCTATCCGTGGCACGAGGCAAAGCGCTTGACGAGCGACCGAAATACGAGACGAGAATCTGAAATGGCTGCCCGCCCACCGTCCTGCCTCTGCTTGGACGTGTACACATGTATGTACATATGTGCATGCGATCGTCAAGAAGCCTGCTGCATCGTGCCAGCAAGCTGGAAGAGGGGGACCGTACCTTATCGATCAAGCGGGATCGTCTTCGTGCGGGTGGGGGCGTAGGGGGTCTTCCTTCGCCAGCGGCCCCTGTCCATCCCCTTTCACGACATCGTCGTACGGAGCACCAGCCCCCCCTCAGCCCCTGTCCTATTGTTCAGGCGGAAGGACTTGTTTAGCCGCTCGTGATGGCCTGGCCTTCGCACGTCGCCCGTCGCGTTATGGTCGGACCTGCCCAGTGGCGTGTCCTTGGGCCGCGTTACACGACCCGGCCCGCCTCGACCCCGACCGAGCCAGCCGACCTCTTCTCGACGCAAAGAAGAGGGAAGCTGCGGATTGCCGTCCTACTTGGCTTGCCCTGGTCTCGCCTGAGGAGGGCGGTCGCGGTCCCCGCTCAGAGTGGGCGACGCTACGCTCTCTGTGATACAGAACGACATCGACACCGCCTCGACGATCCATCATCTGCGCTGCGGAGAGGGTTGAGCAACACGACCGCACGGCTTGCGGCTGCCTCGCTCCGAAGTCGTCGGCCTCCAAGTCGGCCTGCTCGGTCGGATCGCTGGATCAAAGCGGCACGACGCCCAAGAACCTAAACTTGATTCCGCGGCGCGGCTTCTCGAGAACCCGCGCCCTGGCCCTGGCCGTCGCATGCATAGGTATGTGCTCATGCGGTGTCGGTCGGGCTTTGGCGGAGGTGTGAAGCGAGAGAAAAGCAAGCAAAGAGGAGCTCGGCGGCGCTCGGCCCACCTCGTCAGGAGCCTTCCTCGTCTGATGATCCGACCGTTCCCTGGGCACGCCGGCTAGGGACGACAAGGTGCCGGTCCAGTCGGCATACCATTTGATCCTTTGACTTCTCATCAGAGTGGCTTTCACAAGAGGGTCGTGGTGGCGTTGGCGCTGGTGGCGATGGCGAGGTAAGGCCTGGCTCCCTGTTTGATTGCGGTCGATCCCAGGCAGGCAGGCTGATGCCGAGTTACCAGCCTCTGAGCACATACACGTCTTTGCCTCGTCGTCGGCCTCGATACCGCCGTACCGATGCCCCGGCCTGCTGCCTACCCGTTCTGAGCTCGGATGTGCTACCGACAGTCTTGGCGTGCGTCGCCCCTGTCGCCGCTCCCCATCACGAAAGGCAGGCACAGGGGCGGGCGGGCGGCCGTTTCTGAGCCTGCCGGATGCAAACGAGGGTTCGGGAGCGCCCTCTGCCTTCGGGAAGAGGCTCAGCGCTGGCATCGAGGCGTCCGACGTACGTCAACGATGCTCGGACCTTCGTCATCTTCTGTTCGTCGAGGGCATCGAGGCATGCGTACGTCGTACCTACGCGCCCGTGGGCAGCTGCGCGTTTGCGTTTGCGCTTGCTGCAGCTGCTGGAGCTGATGCGACTTTGAGCGACGACGGCTTGCGTCAAGGGGCAGGGGCAGGGGCGGGGGCACGGGCAACAGCATCGGCAAGGGTGACAGGCATCCGACGTAACTATGTCCACGTAGTTGCGGCTGACTTGCGGCGCTGCTCGTCGATCCGCCGTGCCGTCCATCTCCGTCGGACAGGTGAGGACGTTGTCGTATCGTACACCGCGGTGCCGTGCTGAGCCCACCGAACCCGAGCCGAAGCTTCAAGATGCGCGCACGCCTGGACAGCGCAACCGGTGACCATCACCCTACAACGGATCTCCATGAAGAGACGCTAGAGGTGAAATACCGGCAGTAGTGTAGTGCAGCAGTACGTGTACGTGGTGTCGCTGGGGCGGTTGTCGCGGCTCCCTCTGCCCGAACGACAGCATGTCGACAGCTCGACGCCGAACCGATGCGCCCATGAAGGCCGAGGTCGAGACGACGACGACGACGACGACGACGACGACGACGACGACGACGACGGGCGGGGCCTGCCCTGACCACAACCCCTTGCTGCTTTGCTCCATGTCGACGGGTCTTGGGCCCCTCGGTCGGCCAGCGTGCAATCGTCGAGTCTCATGGCAGGTGCGTTTTGAGTGGCTTTGCCCTCGCTATTCATGGCACCCCGCGTAGCCTGGCACCAGCCAACGGCAGCAGGCTACACCCGCAGGCATCGGATCAGGTCGACGCGAGACAGCTCCCGACTGACACCTCGACCCCCGTCACGGCCTGGCCTGGGCTGGCCTCGACTGGCCCGGCCTGAGTTCTGGCAGGTCCCTGGCCCTCGGCGCACGGGTCTACGGCACGCATCTCAGGCCTGCCCTCGGGTCGTGCCGCGAGCCTGCCGGAGCGTTCCGGCGTTTCGATGCAACGAGTAGACTCTCCCTTCCTTGGGCGGCCAGCTGATTGCTTCTCAGAAAGTGAGCACAAGGCAAGAAAGAGAGCCGGTCGGGCGGGTCGGATACCGGTCAGAGAGAGAGAGGGATCCAGCCTCGATGGCGATGTCGAGACCGCAGTGACCGACAAGTCAGCCACAGATGTGCGGGCACGAAGGCCGGAAAGGCTACCTGGATCCTGATCCTGCGCGCAGGTATGTACACGCCGGCGTCTGTCGTGCTCTCCGCTCGCCCGACCCTCGATGGCGTCCGCCTGTCGCCGGAGGCCGAGTTTGGCAGGCCAGGGCCAGGCCACGACGAACACGACATGGTGACCGCCCAAGGCCAAGGCAGGCAGGCAGGCAGGCAGGTCCAGACAACGAGCGCTCGACATTCGGCCCGGTCTGGCCGCTCCCACCGAAAGGGCCAGGGCCTGGCAGTCCCAGGCACGCCACACGCACCCACGACGTCCTGGTTCCTGTTGTGTGGGGGGCCCAGCCAGCCTGCCCCTTTCCTGTCGCGGTGCCTGGCCACCCACCTGTTGCTGCTGCCCTGTTGGTGCATCCGCCGCTGTCGCTCCCCGAGCAGAACCCCCCACCACGGGGGGCAGGCCTGGCCTGGCCTGGCCTGGGCGAGGGCAAACGCCGGCCCCGGTGGTGGCGTCGGGCGTCGAACGGAGGCCGCACACACAGGCCAGACCAGGCCAGGCTGGTTCGAGGCGGTCATCGCGCGCGCATCCCTGGCCTTGCCTGGCCTGCTGGCTCTCCTTAGCTTGGCCTGCCAGGCGCTGCCACACAGCCGCCGCCCCAGCCTGGCGCCCCAGCCTGGCGCTGGGCGGGGAGCGGACGCAAGCGTTGCCCAATTCAGCACGCCGCGGGCTGACAGGCAGGCAAAGAAGACGAAAATGGAGAGTCCAAGGAAATTCAAATGCGGCCCCTGCCTGGCCATTTCACAGCCTCTGGGGCGTTTTCGGTTGGGTACCAAGGCAGGGCGAGGTGCGGACCCCGACCGTCCGCCCGGCCGGCCGCCCGCTTGCCTGGCCCCCCTTTCTGCCTCGCACGCCTGGCCTGGCCTGGCCTGTCGTTGGCCTTGGCCTTGGCCCCAGCCCTAGCCTGGCGCCTGGCCCCAGCTCAAGCCAAATTGCCCCACTCGAGCTCTTCTGCCTTGCCCGCCCGGCCCCTCGCCCCCTTGCGCCAGGCTCCCTCACCTGCGGCGACAGCGACGACAGCCAGCAACAGCCACGTCCGCCGCCGCCGCCACCACCAGCACCACCACCACCACCACCAACACCAGCATCTCCACTGCCGCCATCGCCACGGATCTTCGATCCACCCATCGCCCAGCGTCGCCCTCTCCGCACGCAGTGCAACGTGCCATCTCTCGCACCCATCGCCGTATACCAGTCGCCCTCCCTCTTCTCCCGCTTTCCGCTCTTCGCCGCGACCTTCATTGCGCATCTCCTGCCGCCGCCCGCGCGTCGAATTGCGACGCCCTTTCACCTGCCGCACCGACCCCGTCTCCGTGCGCGCTAAGCCGCACAGATCGCCGCTCCTCTTTTCATCCCGCGCATCCTGGCCGAGGCATCACACCGCGCCCGCTCGAGATTCGACCCCGTCTTTGTCGTACCACCTCGACGCGACTGACACCAGCGTCGTGTCATTGACCCCCCGGCCTTCGACCTCGCTCCATCGTCCCGACATCCTTTCCCTCTCGCCGAATCATCAGCAGACCCCGTACTTCTCCGACCTCGTTTCGGCGGCTCCCATCGGCTTAGGTCTGACGACGTCGCTTTCACCGCTCGTCCCCTCTAGCCGAACTTCCACCTGTCCGCTCGCTCATTCGAGCACCTCCATCGCGCCTCATCCTCCACGCTTCGACCGAGGCCTCCTCCATCGCGCCTCATCCTCCACGCTTCGACCGAGGCCTCCTCCAATCGAAACCTCCAGCCTGAAGCAGCCCGGCGTCGCTCCTCACCGACCCGCAAGCGCCCGTCGATCAGGCAGACACCTTCGCACGTCGCCGTCTCGACTGTCCCCGACAGCACAGCACCGCGCGATCGCTGTTCGCCTCTTGCCTCTAGCATCGGCCCAACTACCCTGCTCCTAGCGGACACGACCTGCCGGCTGCGCAGAGGACTACCTCGCCAACATGAGCGGCAAGATGATGATCTACAAGCTGGTGGTTCTGGGAGATGGCGGTGTTGGCAAGACGGCGCTCACAATCCAGGTGAGTCCGATCCTGATGATCTGCCCGAGGTCCTCGTCGACGCCAGAAAGCGGCCTTTTACTCCATCCGCGGTCCGTTCGCGCGTGCCTCCAATCTTGCCACCGACCTGGAAACTCGGCGTCTCGATGGTGCTCGCAGCGGCGTCGAGATGCGTTGCGATAGGCTGACACGAGATCTGCTTCCTTCCGTTGCCCCTCGTACACTCGCACCCGCAGTTGTGTCTCAATCACTTCGTTGGTGCGTGTGCGCTGCCCCGGCCGATGTCGACGCACCACACATCACGCTGACCACCTCTTTGATCCCGGCGCCTTTCTCGTTGTCCTGGCCTCTTTCGCTGCTGATCAGAAGTGAGTCGATGCCGTTGGGGTCCCGCACTGCCGATTCACGACGAGGTTCGATGCTGACTCCTGCACCACCTTTCGCCACCTTCGTCACCTTCGCCACGCCTTTCCAGACGTACGATCCAACGATCGAGGACTCCTACCGAAAGCAGACCGTTATCGATGACCAGCCGTGCATGCTCGAGGTTCTCGACACGGCAGGGCAAGGTGCGTTTGCCTTCGCCTGCCTGGCGCCTCGTCCCACCGCCGCCTGGCTTTGAACGTGTGCTGATTCGCTCGATCTTGACACCCCTTGTGCCCACTGCGCCGCCTGTAGAGGAGTACACTGCGTTGCGAGACCAGTGGATCCGCGAGGGCGAGGGCTTCCTGCTGGTCTACTCGATCTCGGCAAGAGCCACCTTTGAGCGCGTGGAGCGGTTCCGAAGCCAGATTTCGTAAGTGCCATGCATGTCCAGCCCTCTGCTGCCGAGGTCCGCCTGGCCACCGATGTCGCGAGCATCCTGCTGACCACCTCGCCCCTTATGAACCCGCCCGCGTCGCTGCCGCCAGCCGGGTCAAGGACCAAGAACCACACACGGTGCCGATCATGTTGGTGGGCAACAAATGCGACAAGGTCAACGAGAGGGAGGTCTCGCGAGAAGAGGGGCAGGCGCTGGCCAACCGGCTCGGCTGCAAGTTTGTCGAGTCGAGCGCAAAGACGTGCGTCAACGTCGAGCGGGCGTACTACACGGTGGTCCGCATGATCCGGGAGCAGCGGGAAGGCACGACGAGCGGGAAAGAGCGCAAGAAGAAGTCACGCTGCAACATCCTCTGAGGCAATTGGAACCTGGCGTGCGCAGCAAACACAAGAGGACGGAGTGCGAGAGGGGCGGCCGTCTTGTGGCAGCGCGGCGGCGGTGGCATCACCGCTCGACACTCGATCGCCCTGCGTGGGACTCGCTTGCCGAAGGCAGACCCGTTCTCGTCGACCGGCGAGGACAGGCGTGAACGAAGTGGAGCCTGCCTCGTGCTGCGCCCGGTTGCGGTGCGGAGGCGGCAGAGTCCAAAATGTGAGGCCAACCTGGACGGCATGCGGCAGCGCCGGCAAACAGAAGCACCACATCACGTTCTTGCGCCAGGAGGCCGCGCCAGGATCCAGCTCGACAAGCGGTGGAAAAAAGGATCTGTTGGTCCGGCGCGGTCCGCCCAGCACTCGATGGCGAGGACGGACAAGTGCGGTGGCGGACGGAGCTAAGGGCGGCGATGCCTCGGACGCTACCTCAAACGGCGGCCAAGGTGGCCAGGGTCCCCCTGCCGGTACATCTCGGCCTTCGCCCCTCCGGTTTCGCGACCTTTGTTCGTCGAGGGCGCACACCGAACCTCTGCATGTCTGCGCACACCTTCACATCTACGTTCCGACCACACATGCACCTTCGTTCCAGCATCAAGCACCCACGCATCCGCATCCACGCCTCGCTCCGGGATCTCAACAGCCAAACGGACAATCACCAGACCTGATCCCATCCGATCCGCTCCGATCCGATCCGATCCGATCCTTCACACCACCATGGGCAAACGACCGACTACTTTCCCGGTCTGGCCAAGCTGGTGCCTTGCTCTCGACTCGCTCGATGCCGCCCCCTCAAGTCGCCGATCCAAGGCGCGCATCTCACCAGGGCGTCATGGGCCACCCCTCTTGCGCCTTTGCGCACTCGTCGCTCCATTCTGCCCCTCTCCCCCCTTCTTCGCCCCCGCATCCACCCACACTCTTCGATACCCCTCACCTCGCCGGTTGCCCTGGCCACGTTTCCCCAATCGACCGACGGCGCCTTGGTAGGCTCAGGTGCTCTACTGGCTGAGGCTGTCTGTCAAAAGGGGGCCTCGCCTCTGCCTGCGCATCCGCTGTCGGCTGCGCGCCCTTGGGCTGCGACCGTTGGAGGCGACTCGCCAGTCAGCGGCCGGCCATGTGCGTAGCCAGCCTCGTCCAGAGGTGATGGCCAAGCGCCAGTCGATGCGGCATCGGGCTGTCGATTGCGTCGTCGATTCGGTCCACAATCTTTGCTTTCCCCTCGTCGCCACTTCCTCTGTCATGTCGTCATCTCCTTTTTGACCTTGCCCCTCTTCCCTTGCCCTTTCGCCACCTACCTACCTCGCTCCCTCCCCTCCCGTACCGTTTCTTCCACCGTGTATACGATCCTGGATACTCTTGTCAATGCGTCGTGGCCGCGGCGACTGGACCGTGGGTCGAGAAGTCGAGCGGTTTTGGCCTGCTGCCCTGCCGTCGTGCTGTCGAATGAGTGCGGTGCGGGAACGCCCGATGGCTGAGGACGCCCGATGCGCGCTGGGGGGCCGAGGATGTGGAGAAGCAGTTCAGGGTGCGCGCGGCTGGGGCAGGCCTGCCACGCCATGCCAAGCACAGGCAGGCAGGCAGGCATCGACTGAGCCCGGGCCAGGCCAGGGCCAGGGTCAGGCCAGGCCAAGCAGGCAGGTGACAACCCGAGACCAACACCTCTCGATGCCAACAACACCCTCCGCCACCTCAACCACAACTCGGCCTCGACTCGACCACCACATTGTGCTCCCCCCGCATCCATCCGGCCATACGCTCGTGCCAGCCCTTCAAGAGCAGCTGAACGTCACCTTCCACCCCATCCCTCTCCAAATCATCAGAGACGACCCCTCCCCCCTCTCCGGCACGATGGACAAGCCTCTAGAATACCCGCCGCCAGAGCTCAAGCCGCTCAAGCCCTTCATCCAACGCGCAAACGAGCTGCGCACCGCAGACAGGGTCATCTCCTACTGGTGCCTCTACTATGCCGCCCAGCTGGGCATCGGCGCCAACGCAAAACAACCGGAATCCAAGCAGTTCCTCTTCAGCCTCCTCGACACCCTCGAGGCGCTCAAGGCCCAGCTCGCCGACAACGACGCCGTCACAAACGACATCGCAAGCGCAGCCTACGTCGAGAACTTCGCGCTCAAAGTCTTCGTCCAGGCCGACAACCAGGACCGCGCCGGCAGAGCCACTCGCGAGACCGCCAGCAGGTTCCTCGCGGCCAGCCAGCTCCTCGAGCTGCTCAAGGTCTTCAACCAGCTCGATCCGGACATGCAGGCCAAGATCAAGTACGCAAAGGTCAAGGCCACAGACATCACAAAAGCCCTCAAGGAAGGCCGCAAGCCACACCCGGGCCCCGCCGGCGGCGATCCCAACGAGGAGGCGGCCAAGTTCGAGGATGCCATCGCACGCGGCCTCGAGACCAAAGAGAGCAGGGAGGACGACGACGCCTACCTGGCCCGCGAGATGGCCAGGCTGACGGCCGATGCTGCCGGTCCCGCCGTGCCTCAGGCCATCAGTCCAGCAGACACCGGCGATGCTAACCCGTTTGACGGCGAAACCCAGAACCGCAAGAGGGCCATGTCCAAGGCGAGGATGAGCCTGCACGTCGAAGGCTCTCCGCTCCACTCGCCCAACTTTAGCAAACCGCTCCAACCGCAGCTTCCGGGACGGCCCGACAGCGCCAGCAGCCGCAGTGCGGCCGACGGCATCACGCCGCCAACGCCTCCCAGCGCCGGCTTTGGAGGCGACGGCGGCGGCCTCATCCAGAGGCTCTCCTCGCCGCCGGCCGCTGCTCCGGGCCTTCAACCTCTTCCGCCGTCGCAGGATGCCAGCACAAGGGCGCCCTCCAACGCCTCGGCCGACTTCCTTCCCATCCCCGCCTCGAGCCAGGCGACTAGCCCGAGCGTGCTGTCCGGCTCGCGGCCTCTACCGGTGCCGCCACACCGGGACGGGCTGCCAATACCGCCCTCCTCCCACCTCCAGCGCGCCACGAGCGCCGGCGGGAGCGCATCCTCGTCATCCCCTTGGCCAGGCTCGACGAACGGCATGCCTTCCGCTCCCGTCTCGCCAAACTTCCGCAGCACGTCGCAGATGGCCGACGCGGCCAGCAGCAGCAGCGTCGGTGCAGGGCCTGCCCAGGCTCCCGGCTTCGACATCTTCCAGCCCTCGTTCCCCGCGACGCCCTTGGCGCCTCCGGCCCCGGTGCCCAGTGCTCCCGGAGCCGACTTGGGGTCGTCCCATCCATCCTCGGCACCCATCGTCCATTATGCCTTGGCCCCCTCTGCGCCGCAGCCCATCGGTGCAACCGCTGCGTCCACAGCCCCCGCCACTGATGCTGCATTACCGGCGCCAGCCAAGCTGCCCGAGTCGCTGCCGCTCAAGCTTTCGGTGCGTGCTCAGAAGCTCGCCAAGAGCGCGGCGAGCGCAGTCGACTTCGAGGACCTCGACACGGCAAGGGCGCAGCTCCGCCAGGCGCTCGACATCCTCGAAGGGAGGGTGGCCGAGTGAGGTCGATGCCGGATGTCACCAGTGCCATGTGCTGGGAGCTGCTTGTCATCAGGACGCCGCTGTCACCAGCTAGGCTGAAGTTTAAGTCGGCGCGCGCCCCCGACTCTGCGAGCTTCCGCGAGCACGATGGGCGTACAATGGCGGGCGCTGCCGGTGCCAGACACTCGCGGCGGCAAGGGCTAGGAAGGAGAGGCGGAGGAGGATGTGGGTCGCCCGAGCCGGATGCGGCGAATGGATCTGCAGCGGCGACTACCGGATGCCAAAGTGGCCGCAGCCTAGCCTGGGGCGTAAGCCAAAGCCTAGCCTGCCCACCGTCTGGGTTCGCGCCAGCCGGGGCTGATGGTGCGGCGCGCTTGGCTTAAGCCTCCATCGGACGGGAAGCCTGCTGAGGGAGGGCAAAGAAAGGGGTGCGACGTCCGTCGCTCGGATCGGAACCAGCCAAAAGACAGGCAGGCAGGCAGGCAGGCAGGCAGGCAGGCGGGAATCCAAGTTAAGGCAGGCGAGCTAAGCAAGCTCCCAGTGGAGCAGCTCGGATGCTCACGCCGCGGCGTCGTTAGACCCTGGTACACAGAGTTGGCACCTGCCTCCGAAGTTAACGCAGCAGCAGCAGCCTCGGCAGCTGCATCGCCGCACCGAGCCGGCACCGACGGGCACCGCTGTCCACGCGGTTCATCGCTGCGGCGTCGTGTACCAGTGTGAACGTACGTTTAGCCCCTCCGGATTGACTGGACGGCGCCGTACGCTGAGGTGCTGTCGTTGTCACGCCTCGTGCAACCCGGACGGATGGGGAGGAGCTACGCACGGTAGCATCGACTGTCACACGCCAGCCATGGGCGGATCGCAAGGGCCGGACTGGCACCGACGCACGATGGCATGTGGCTGCACACACACTCGCGCGCACTCGGAGCAGGACAGGGTCGAGACGGGACGGGAACAAGCTCGACGCTAGCTGGTAGTGTCCGTGGTGTCGCAGCCTGCTCGCCCCCTTTTTGGGTCTTGACGCCCTCATGCAGGATCGAGGGAAGCCAAGGATGGACGGACGAGGCAACGTGAGGTGGTGGTGGTACGGACCTGATCCCACATCAGACCAGGCTGAAACCGACGAGCGCCTTGACGTGGTACGAGCTTCTCGCGGGGTTCCTCTCGGCCGCGGTCGATGACCGAGGCCCGTGGTGGATGGGCGTATCCCCTCCAGGGCGTACAGTTGAACCTTGTCCTTCTCGTCGACATGGTCGGTCGCATGTCCTCGTCGTCGACGCGCGAAAGAAGCTCGCGGCAGAGAGAAGAAGAGCAGGCTGGACAAAGTGCCGGTTGGCGCGAGCAGAGGCAGACAGGCTCTGCGATCAGCTGTCGTGGCGGCGTGCCGGTGCCCTCTGCTAGTCGGCACGTGGTGGAAGAACAGGGCTTCGTGTGGGCATCGACACGCGTAGTTCTCGTTTGTCGCCTCCCCTGTCCTTCAGTGAGGCAAGACCTGGCCTCGTCGTGCCTGTCCATCTTCTGGCATCGAGACAACCACGGATTCCCATCGGTGAACGGCCGGGATAGCAGCGCCGACCTGCCTCACCTTTGGCGGACCGGGAAGGAGAGACGAGCCGAAATGAAGCTGGCGCAGCCCCTCCTCCCACACTTGCCACCTCGTCGACGAGCCCCGATCCAAGACAAAACGAGACGGGACGAGACGAGACGAGACGAGACGAGGGTCAGCGGCTTGACGCTTACATGCTAGCTAGGTAATCGCCGCACCAGCCGCCACAAGTTGAGTAGTGGTGTGTAGGCCGCCTTAATCCCGCCCCACCCTACATCCAAACGAGGCTGGGTCGATGACACGTCGCGGGCTCGGTGCGCCGCTCCCTACCTCGCCCCCTTCCTGCTTTCCCGCCTCGCCCCGAATTTCAGGGTGCGACCGTCCACCCACGCACAGCCGGCCAGCCGGACGGGCAGCCCTTTCATTTCGCTCCGAGGGCCGAACCGACCCCTCTTCTCGACGACGCTCCGTCTGCCCGCCCGCCGGCCCGCCCGTCCGCTCGTTCGCCCGCGCTCCAGCGGGCGCAGGCGCATGCACGTCTTCTCGTTGATCGACATCGTCCGCCCTCGTACAAGCTTTGCTCCGCGACTTCCGACGACCGCACGGCTGGTCACCTCGGCCGCCATCGCCCTCGTCACCCGCTCTGCTGCTCGTCCCACGATGCGGATTGACGAGCATCGTGACAGGCCCTTGGTTCATCGGGGCGAAGTATAGACACCAAGGACACGAGCCGCCTGCAAAGCCAGGGCAGCGGGCGGCAATGCACCACGCCGTCGTCGTCGTCGTTGGGGCGCAGGCGGCGTCTTTGGTGCGGCAACCAGGTAACAGCAGCACTCGCTTCCTACGCGCACGCGCGCGCTCCCGCCCGTCTGTCGGCGCCTGGCAACTGCGCAGTCGCATGCTCCCGCTCCCCCCCCTTTCTCCTCCCTCGTCGTCTCCGCCTGCAATTCAGATGGCCTCTGACCCGAACCAGCGGTGTGTGTGTGCCGATGCTGCATGTTTACCGTACCGGCTACTAGACTGAGAAGGTGAAGGCGTCCCTTCCAAGTGCACGCTGAGGAAGAAGTTGAAGAGCGACACCACGGCATGCCGCAAACATTGGACGACTCTCTGCCTGCCTGCCTGCCTTCCTGCCTGCCTGCCTGCCTCGCTCGCCATTCCGTGCACCTTCTCTTTCGTCACCCTTCTACCACACCTTTCTCCCCGCCCACTGAAGTGGAACAAGGACATCCTCGATCTCATCGCTTCGGCCGGCGCAATCCCAGTATCCCTTGGGCAAGCCACCGCGCACCCGCAGCACCTCGACGCATGCCGTTCCAGGCCTTCGGAAACGGCCTGCTATCGGCCTTGCCGCACGCAGCGTACGGGGACGAGGAAGCGATGCCAAGCAAGGTCGTCTACCCGAGCCTCATCTCGCCGCACGCAGAGCAAGCCTGTCCTCTGGGCATGAACCCTGCTGCTCCGCCCGCGCAACAGGTACCTCGATCGCTGCTCCACCTGGAAGCTCTCGACGTCTTCAACGTCTCCTCGTTCTCGATCGACGTTGCGCAAGAGGGCGGCCGGTGGGACCTTGATCCCGAAGCACCCTGGCCGCAGCCTTACCCTCGCCCGTCACCGTCGATTGAACTGCAGGCTGGCCCGATCTTCGATGACGGTGCCGCCGAACTCACCGCTTCAAGTGCACAAGCGGCATCGTTCTGCCCGTACCGAGGCGATATCCACCTGGCGACGACCTCGTACGGACTGCGCGGTGCGGTGCCCGCGTGCTTTGCCACGCCGCTCTGCCTCCACCCGACGCCCGTCGGTGCCATGCCGGCCGAAGAGACGTTTGCGACGGCGACAGGGCAGGGGTGCGAGCAGGGCATCGAGGCCATGATGGACCTCGTCTTCGCCCCCGAAGAACGGGGCTGCGCAGACGACGTCGACCTCGCCCAAGTCCCCGCCGCGAGGACCTCGACGCCGTTGACGCCGGACGCGCTGCCACCCCTGTCAGCCGACTCGCCGCCTGAGTCGCTCGCTGCGCCACAGCCGTTCTACACGTTCGGCGACCTCCTCCGACCTGCCTACGACCCCATCATCAAGGCGGAAGACGGCGTCGCAGAGGACGAGATCCCCTCGCTCCTTTTTAGCGCGCACGGCGTCGGCGCCCGCGGCCCGCCGTGGTCTGAGATGACGGGCCTGCCCTCCCTCGATCACGATGCGGGCCCGTTTGGCTTCGAGAGGAGACGGATCAACTCGTTGCCTTCGTCCTCGCTCGATCTGCCTCTGACACCGCAGACCTGGCCCAGCAGTACGCAACCCGCCAACATCAGCAGCAGCGGCGGCAGCAGCGGCTGCAAAGACGATGGCTCGCTCAGCTACGCCGGTCCGCCCGCCTCGCAACCCCCTGGAGGTCGCGAAGCGGGAATGTCGGCCTCGGCCTCGTCCTCGGCCGACGTCACCACCATCGCCCCACCTCGTCCTCGATACCCGTGCAAGGCGTCGGGGTGCGAGCAGACATTCGCATCGCGCTGGAACCTGTCGCAGCACGTCAAGCTGCACGACGAGACGCGGTCCAAGGACTTTGTCTGCACGCTGCCCGGCTGCGGCCGCGCCTACTTCCACCACCGCGACCTCAAACGCCACATCAGAAAGTTCCACACGCACCCCGCTCCTGCCCGCTCGCGCCCGCCCCAGCGGCTAAGGCAGCCCGACGAGGCCGTCGAGGATTCGAGGCCCACCGCCGTTCGGCCCTTTCATCTTCCCTCTGTCTTGATGTCGTCCGGTGGCCTCCTCTAGACTTCGTTCCTTCTCCCGCCTCCTTCCGTCTCGCCCCGACCGCCCTTTCCCCCCCCCTCGATTCCCGAACCCTCTGTAGCACCACCACTTGTTGTACGACCAGCCCGATCTCCTAGCCTCGTTCCCACACCAGATGCGATCCAACAGCCGAGCAAACAGAATGACAGAACGAGCACGGCTGACGAACAATAGAGTACAAGAGATCGAACACCAAGGCCTGGGAGAGAGAGACGGATGGAGAGCACTGAAACAGACACAAACCGGCCGATGACTGAAGCGAACGAGGGGGGTTACCACCGGGGTTGACGGTCGACGAGGCGGTCTAGCTCTGGAGGCGTCGGACCGTCTTCCTCTCGCGCTCGCCGGCCGTCTTGATGACGCCCTCGCTCTCGAGGGTGCGCACCAGGTCGTAGAGGTCCGTCGGGTCGACAGGGATCGACGACTGGTCGTTGAGCGCCTTTGCGAGGTCGACGTAGCGCACCGCCCGCGAGGGGCGCCGACGAGCT